AGACACTAACATAGAGAAACAAACTACACTTAAGATACATAAACATGGGGAAAGTAGCTGGGAACTGAGGCTAAACAGACCTGCCCTGGGAGCTGGGGAAGGAAAGGAGTGTCATAGCAGAGCTGGGGAAATGACTCAGAGCCTTGTGCTCCAGATGGGGAAGTTTGGAAACTTTTTGTAAGGAATAGAAAGTATAATAAGCAAAAGAGAAACCTAATCAGATTTGATTTTAACATAACATTTAAGATCAGTTCATAAATGACACAGAAGGAATAAGGCTGAAAGCAGAATTAGGAAATTTCTAATTTGTCCCAATAAGAGACAGTGAGATTTTCTGTCTATAGCAATACCTTATGGGCACTCTAGAGAGATTGTAGGAGGACATCGAAGAATAGGTAAGTGAATGAAGATGAAGGAAGGAGACATCAAAGCCAGTACCCAGGTTTGGGCAAGTTTATGGACGGTAGACCTTTAACAAGACAAAAAAAAAGGCAAGTATGTGGTAGGACTAATAAGACTGCTTTTAGATGTGGCATTTGAGGTCACTGCAAGATACCTGGGAGGTGACATGTGAGGAAAAGATGGAAACTTTAAATCTAGAGTTCAGAAAAGATGCCATATGTGAGACTACCTGAGGCGCGGGCTGCAGCTAAAGCCAGAGAAACCAGTTACATCTCCAAAGGATAACAAGGGTGATATGAAGAGATATGAAGACAAGTGGTTATCAGTGTCAAATAAGAAAGAAAGATCAAGAAAGGTAAGTCCTAAAATGTGGAACCAGAGGATCTGGCAACTCAGAGAGAGGTAGAAGCTTCTTTAGCCTTCACTTAGCCCCTGGACTAGTCTGTCATTTTGTACAGCCAGTGCCTCTCATGTCACCACTCTTTTAAAAGGACATGGCCAACTGAATGAAGGCAGCATGTTCCACTGTATGGAATTGCCTTCCACCCAACCAATGTTTATCATGGTTTCCATGTCACAGCTCTCAAGATGACAAGCAGACTCCTGATGCACACCAAGCCAGTCTAAATCTCTTATCTCTTGAGAATATACTTTGACTGTGTTAAGCATTGGAGCTATAAAGCTGTGTAAAGCTGGAGTAAATCTCAAACCATCTGTGACTTATGTTATGTGGGAACCTGGATTACTTAAATATTTGAGTTTGTCTTAAATCAGTGTTATTCAGTTGCTTTAAATTTGCCTGTTAGGATGATTTTTCTCAAAGTCAAGTTCTTTTCATTCAAGCAAACCAAGTGGCCAGCTCCTGATACATCTTGTCCTTCCTCCTGCTTCCCCCAATACTAAAGCAGTCATAGAAAACTACATTACTAAACTACTGTACCCAATTATTCCTGGATGCCAAATAAGGTCATGCAAAACTTGAGGCAATGCCAGAATTCTCAGCAGGATGGGAAACAGATCATGAAGTCTGGCTTGCCCATGACCACAAAAGAGTAGTTAATACCTGCTCTCCCTCACTCACATTATACCCACAAGGCTCAGACTCACACTCTACCCATAGTAGCTACCTACACCAGGGCGTGGATGGGTGAGTTTGAGGACAGGGTGTCATGTTTTCCCACTGTCAGAAGACACCTGCTTGGGGTCATGAGAAAAAGCTGATGATGCGGCTCTCTTACAGACCCTTCTTCACTCCAAAGACAAGACCCTTTAGTTACCAGGGCTACTCAAAATCCTGATTTGAAGGAAAGAGAAGTCACTTAGACAGATTCTCATCATTTTATACACTAATTAACCATGAAAATTCAATGTCACAGTCTCTTCAAAATCTTGAGGAGGAAGGGACATAAAAAGAGAGAGGAAAAAAAAAAGGCACAGAGGTGCAAAACAAAAGAGACTGGAGGTCAACATGCAAATGCCAAGCAAGGACACAGAATCAAGAGTCTACTGGCATGCATTCAAAATTTCAAACAGCAAATTTAATCAAAGGTTCAGAAAACCTTTCCCAGTTCCATAGTGAATGATGTAACAAAGTGAAGAGGCTGCTGCTACCTTTATAATGGCCAATGCTCACTCAGGAAAAAAAAAAAAAAATCTGATGGTTACCAATTTAATCAAAATCAAAAGTGTTGTTGCCTGGAAAACTATTAGAAAATTGCTCCACAGCTGGAATCATATCTTAAGAAGTAGAGAACCTGCCTAATAAAAGCATAAGGCCCTGAATTCAACCCCCAGTATTGCCAACAAATAAATAAGTAAATGTTCCACTTCCCAGAGGAAAGCAAGCACCCGATGACTTACAGGGGTTAGGTACCGGACATTTGACATGTTATTCTCCCCACTAATTCACAGAACTGGGGAACATGGTAGAGTGGGTAGGAACAAACCAGAAGCTGGACTGCCTGGATTTAAATCCTGGCTCTACTAATTCTCCATGCCTCATCTTCTCACCCGTAACACAAAAATAACAATAGTGCCAATTGGGCAGGATTTTTATAGCAATAAATGAGTTAACAGTGTATTGTACCTGACATAATATAAGAAATTGTTTTAAAAAAATTAAAGGGTGAGGAAGTTCTCATTCTCCACCTCCCTTTCTGAGATGACCCACTTTCAACCTATTTAAAGTATATTCTTTTCCTAATAAACTATACTATCACTTTTACTACAGAAAAAAAATTAATGGTTGGGCTGGGGGTATAGCTCAATGATAGGGTGTTTACCTAGCATGTGTGCAGCCCTTGATTTCATCCCTAGTATCACAAAAAGCAGAAAAAGATGGACAAAATTAAATGCTAATTGTTTTTATTATCTTTTTTTTTTTTTTTTGGTGGTACTGGGGTTTGGACCCAGAGCCTCACACTTGCTAAGCAGATGCTCTACCACTTGAGCCACTCTGCCAGCCCTTTTTTGTGTTGGGTCAAGATAGGATCTCAACTATCTGCCCAGGCTGCCTTAGAACTGCAATCCTCCTGATCTCTGTCTCCTGAGTAACTAAGATTACAGGCAATAGCGCCATCCCTATTTTATAAGGGAAGAGCCATCCCTATTTTATAAGGGAAGAAACTAAAAAAAACTTACAAAGACTAAGTAAGGGGGGCCCAAAATAAAGACAACCACTGGAACTATACCAGTCTTCCATCCCACTAGATCAGGAACCCCTCAACTCCCTTCCTAATGCCCCTTTTAACATAAAAGTTAAAATTTAAGACTTGACTGCATATAATTTCAAAAATTCATATTTATTAAATTTTCTAACCACATTACCTCCAGACCATAAAACCTGTAAAAAGCACAAAACAAAGTCCTGTCTTCAAAAATCTGACTTATTAGTGTAACATCACAGATTAAGATGGTGAGTTCTCATTGTTCCCAGGCACTGTGACAAGTATCAGTCTTATCTCATTGGCTCCTCACAATAATCTTCCAATTTATATTTTGAAGATGCACAGATAAAAGCTCAGAATGTTTAGCCTAATTCCCCCAACCTCAGGGAACTAGTGAACAGCAAAGGTAAGATTTCAACCATCTCTGATAGACTCGCCACTACTCTCCTTAGAATACAACACCAGGCCAGCTGTGACATCACTTCACGTTCTTCACAGACCCCGACACCTCGGCCCATGGGATTTATACAAATGCCTCAGCCTACCATGAGCAAGCAATGTGTTAATTGGCTCCAAAGATCAAAGGATGAGACATACCAAACTAAACAAAACTTTTAAGTATTTATTGTATCAGGTAGACAAAGAATAATGATACAATGTACAATGCTTGTATTATATCTTACAACTCTGTTAACTGTTTCTGACCTTCACACAAATGCAGAGAATTTTGTCTCCCCACAATCTTGAGCCCACTGCCTAAGCCCTTGGGGCACACACTGGCTGAGGAAGGGCTGTCTTGAAGACAGAAAGGCCTCATGTGGCAAGATGCCCAGTAGCACCCAGGCAGGGCAGGCCCAGAGCAGGTGCTCACCTAATGTCAGGATCTTTGCCCTCCTTGCTGCTTGTGCCTAGCATGGAGAAATGCACGTGGGGCTTTCTAAAGATGTCTGTGGAAGGAGTGGGGCAGAGGACTGATATGATCTCAGTTCTCTAACAGAATTCACCTTTTCTACAACTGCCCATTTTCTGAACTCAGCTCTGAAATGAGCTGTTCTCTGTTGCACTCTTCTTCACATTATCCAAAATAAATTCAATGTCCACCTTTTCCTTTGGGAAAATCAAAGGTTGACATGGTTATCTTTTGAACTCAAGCTGTTAAAGATCCTTTCTTGTGCTCAAAAAGTTTTACTGATTTTTGAAAGGTCTTATTGATAAAACACAGAGAAACTCAGGGGAAAAGGACAGAGAAAGAAGAAGAAAGAAAAAGAAGAAAGAGGCCAGAAAAGAAAGAGAAGGGAGATGGCCCAAGAGGAGCAGAGAGAAGTGAAAGGCTACTGAATGCATAATTGCCAACTAGCTCATGGCACAACCATGGAGCACTATTTTTAAAATCCAAGGAGAAAATATTTACATAAAGTCCAAAGGATACATACTCTTTGTTGAATGCCAAACATGACAATGTATTCAATTCACTAATTCATTAATTAGTCTGTGACATGTACTTCTGGCACCATTAGCAGTTCTGAGACAAATATTTAAAGGAAGAAGAAATTTAAGAACTAAAGAGAGAAGAATATTTTCTTTCCATTTTGTTTTTGTTTATTTGTACTGGCTATATTTGTACATGATGGTGACATATTTAGGAACTGGGGTTAATAAAATGGGTGACACGAAGCCACCCAAGTCCCTCTTTGAAGATCTGTGCTTCCAAGGTACATATAAAAGTCAAACAAATTTTAAACCGTTTAAAACAAAGCCATGTAGAAAAGTCAAATGAATTTTATAGAATTTTCTAATTGTGCTTAGGAATGAGAGTTTCAAAAGAAGATACGTTACAATAAACACATATTAAGAGTAACTTAGGCCTTAATTATGCTTAGCAAGTTTTATGTCCTCATTAAAAACAGAATCTCAACAATAAATATGACTTACCACCAGAATTAGCTCTGCCACAATTGTCTACTCTTCCCAAACATTCTTTGTGTGCTCTTGCTCCACACTTAAAACATAAATAGCCTTGATAAAATGTTCCTCTGAAAGGTAAAATTAGAAGGTGATATATTAAAACATGCTAAATCATGCTTATATGAAATCATTAGCGCAAGAAGGGGTAAAACGTATCACGGTGATATTCAAAGTACTCTCAGCAAAGGCAGAGGACCTCTGTGGGGTTCTGAAGGAGCTGACCAAGTTCAAGGCCTAGCAAAGATCTGTTAGGTCCCAATTGTGAAGGCAACATTTTGGCAGGAATGCTAGAAAAGTCTGCAATGCTTAGCAATGGTACCCGTTCGTTTAAATTGAAGAACAAGCCTAAACAAGCTTACCTCAGGAGCATCTGGCAGACTTTGCAGGATGTCACCCGAGTGAAGGTATGCATCTTGAAGTCATGGAAATTGGAGTCTGCATAGTCTGGCCTTATGTTAGATCTGTAAGAGGGAAAAGTCACTTCCTCAAGAAAGTTTCACAGGAAAGCAACAATCGACATATCTAAAAGTTAAATTTATGAAAATGTATGGGGCAGAGATCTGATTCAAGTCAAAAGGCTATCAAATAAATAATGGTTTCTAAGCCAAAAGTATGCCATACATTAACATACGCACTATGTTTAGATGCATAGGGATCTAGAACATAGGACATAAGTGACCTAATCCTCCTCAGAACTGTGTTTGAGAGGAAGCTGCAGCTTGGCCACCTAGCTCAACCTGCTGGGGAATGAGGAAGCTGCTGGATAGTCATGCTGTGAGCTGGCTTGTTACGCAGCCACATCACTGAAATATAAACTAGCTAGTGAGGGTGGAAGAGAGAAACAAAGGACAGTGCATCCCCAGAGTTCATCTCTAAAGAGCTGTGTGAGTTATGGGATGGCCTAAAAAATTTTAAATAATTATGTATTTTTCAAATATAAAAGCTTTCAAACAATGCATCAATTTGATCATTAAAAACTTCAAATACAAAAGCTTTCAAGCAATGCATCAATTTGATCATTAAAAATTTCTTAATGAACAATTCACTTTCCTCACAAGGAAAATGAAAACAAAACAGAATTATTTCAGCATTTATATTTTGTACGTTATTTACAGTATACAAATATATAATAGAAAATTATCATGCCGATCTCAAATGAACGTTGCTTGTGCACTTATCCTGGGTTTGACACTGAGATACCTACTTGATATTCACTACCTTGTTTAATTTTCACGTCAATCCTAATGGCCTGTCACTAATATCACTTGCTTACAAACAAGGAAACTGGGTTTACTCTCCAGTAACACTAGGAAATGGTGAGTGAAGACCTCCTACCCAGCTCTGTGCTTTTAGCCACTCATGCTATTCACATTACACTAATTGGAGTTTCGTGCTTAGCAGGTGTAATGGAAGCAGTTAAATTTAAATATTTTCCAGAAGATTTTTTTTTTGCATTATTTTAAATTAAGTTACAGCACAGAAGAAAGCAGAAAATTCAGAACAGGGCAACTTAAAAGTGGATATGAATCAGAGGTACACCTAGAAAGCTAAGATAATACACTCCAAAATGTTCCACACAATTTGAGAGATTGTAGGAGAAGTGTGAGAGACTGATGAGCTAGGATTTCCCCTTTTATAAAACACAGCAACGCTCAGGCACACAGAGCCTGAGTGTAATGAAGCGTTACACAGGCAGGCGACCAGGCATCCATCTCTGAGGTAGCAAGAAAAAGCTTATGAAAAAACATTCGCCAAGGCAATCGGAGTAGCAGGCAGGGTGCAGAAGTGTCAGGGGTCAGCCTTCCCATCCATCTGCTGAATGTGAGCACACTAAAAACGAAATCAAATATTAGTGCCATCTGGGATTTCTCTGCTCTGTGCCTCTGGTGACCTCACTTCTTTAGGAAAAACTTCCACTGCAAGCTGAAAAAATTATGGCTATTTCCATAGAGGCATTTTGTGTGTGTCTTGATTAAAAATTACAGAGCTCTTCTTCAGAAAGGGAGGATAAAATGGAAGGCTCTAGGAAGACAACTCTTGTCACACTGTTGAGAAATCATGTGATTCTTGAATCCACAAAGCCAAGAGTTGAAAGGAGCTTCAGGACCCATTTGCTAAACCAGAAAGAGGCTGTTGCTCATTTTTCTCTGGGTATCAAGTGATACAGTCACAGACAAATCGTCAAATAATAGTTTCGGTCCTGGGAACTTACAGAATTCATCAATCTGGGGTTTTCAAATAAAAGGAGGTCTCTTTCAGGTAGAAACTTGTATACATAGGTCATAAATAAGTTTGGGACACCATCATCTAGGGATCAAACCACTCATACACATATATGCATATGTACATATATTTGGATATGTATTAGAGCTGTGTTTGGACCATCTGTATTTAAACTTTACCAACTAATTGAGAGTAAACTGACTTTTCATAAGATGAAAAGCTGAAAGGAGAATCATAAACACACTATGAGGTTATTTTAAATCTTATGCTGAAAAAAATAACTCTGAAAATATTGTTAACAGTAGGTGCCTTAAGGGAAATGAAACTTCAAGTGGCAGGGTAGAATGACAGGAGGAAGTGCTACAATTTCTTGAACTATAGCTGCATAGTATTTTTTTAAATCTCAAATCAAACATTAAAGAATAAAAGTTAACTCTACAGCCCTGAAACTGCTACTGAGGCACTACTGAATATAAAAGCAGAATCTAGGACAGGAATCTGAAATTAGAACACCTGGGCTTAAATCCTAACTTGCAAATCAGTAAAGTATGACCTTGGGTGAGCTGGTAAGGATAAAACAGGAATACTAAATAAAACCAAACTCAAAAGCAAGGTAACATACATAAAGTGCTTAGAACACTACCTGACCCAGAGCTGGTGTTCAATCACTATGACTACCATTTGTGAAGAATGGATATTAAATGCCAAGGACGATGTTTTAGTTAGCTTTATGAGTGGTACAATTCCTTGGTTGATCACAGTCAAGTCCACAGAGGGTTCCCATTCTCTGGGGCATTTTATATGATAATCCTTGGGACAGATAAAATTATTTAAGTGCACTACAAGATAGAATTACTCAGGAGAGGATGTGTACAAAAAACCCCCGGAGAATTAAATAAACTCATACCAAGTGCTGACTAAAGAAAAGAGAGATGGCAACTCAAGTGGCCTACAGCCTGTGGCAGGAGCCAAAGCCAGGGAATTGGTAGGTGGGAATATTTGGGATGGAGGACTGGAGCAGAAGGGGACAGAGGACTGAGAAGCATTAGCCAGGAAAACACAAGTGTGAGAGAGGTCAACAGTGTCATCTATACATCTCTTCTACACCAGACACACTGCCAGGCTTTTTAACTGATTTTTTAGAGGTACTTCTCACAAGGAATCTTGGCAGATCACTCATTCATTTCACAGCTATTGAGTAACTATCATACAGATAGGTCCTCAGACAGGAACAGAAAGATCCTGTGGCCGCAGCCTAACGAGTGAAGAGAGGAGATGTAGGTAACAAGTCAGCAGGGGCAGAAGAAAGAGATGAGATTTTTATACGAGGATGGACTGATTACATCTAGTTGACAAAAAACATCTCTGTGGCTACTACACAGAGAATTCCTTTTTTTTTATTGTTTTATTATTCAGATGTGCATACAATGCTTGGGTCATTTCTCCCCCCTGCCCCCACCCCCTCCCTTACCACCCACACTGCCCCCTTCCTCTCCCCCTCACCTCCTCAATACCCGGCAGAAACTATTTTGCCCTTATACTACACAGAGAATTCCTTATCATCAGTAAGAAGTGGATACAGCAAGACTAATTATGGGCTTAAGTTGTCTACAGATGAGAACCAAAGATCAATTGGTTAGCTAACTTACACATAAACTCATAAAGAATTCGATTTTAATAATCTGCCTTCATACATGCCAAGATACTTTTAAGAATCTAGATAGACTATTGTAGATTTCTCAGTAAAATGTTCCCGTTTCTTTTGCTTCACATGGAGCCTATTTTTAACAAAAGTCCAGGTGATCAAAGTATTTATAAGGTAAGGTATGATGATATCTTAGGACTCCTTGTAGCTTTACATGTTCTTTTGTGATGGTACCTTCTCACCTGGTTCCATCGCTGACTCTAAGCTGAGGACCTCATGTCTCCCACTAGCCAGGGCACCATGTCCATCCCCCAGATCTGCATTCCCAACTGTTCCTTGGGCACCTCAAATGCAGCATCAACAAAACCCAACTTCCACACTTTCCTGAGGTTTCTAATCCACTCACTCCATCTTCCAACCTGAAACTTCAGAGTCACGATGAATTTCTCTCTCTCTCTCAAACTCACTGCATATTCATTCTCTCCTAACCTCTTCTCTGATCCAATTTCCCCTTGCAAAAGCTGTGTCTGATTTCTGTTAATTCAACCTTAAAAATGCTTCCTTAAAAACTCAGGACAGACAGACACACACATACAATTGCTTCTGTTTTTCTAGAAAACCCTGCCAACCATAGGCATACCAGATAATGTTAGATGGGTTTGTGTGTCCACTTACCAGGGAAGGGTGTGAGAGCA